TTTTTTCCACCAAGTAGATTCGCCCAGCTCTAATTAAAACATGCTTTTGTAACGAAGTGACGCCTGAGATAGAATGACAGTGATCTACATTTACTGTAAACAGCAGCACCCATTCAAAAGGATCCCAAAGCGCTTTACAAGCATCAGAAAGAAGAACCACTTCACTTCCCAGTGAAGCACAATCACCTCTGAGGTGAAATGTGGTGACTGACAGTGCAGAACAACACACTTTGTTTTAGTCGAGGAAATGGAGAATGTTGTAGCCAATTAAAACTATGGGGTGGGTGAGTGGTGGTGGGGAATGTTGGGTAAGCAGAACAGTTACACAAATTGATATTTGCCCAGGTGCTTGGGTTGAGATGACCACGCTATAAAAAAGTGCCATGGGATCTTTAATGACCATAACCGGTCAAGACCTGAATTTTACGTCTCTGAGGATAAAAACATTAGAAAACAATGAAAGATACCTTTGTTGAATACATTTCTGGACAATGATATGTGCCAATTATTCTTCTGTCCTGTAAGTTAATAAAATCAAGACCAGTTTCCTTAGAGATAAGGCAGCTGTTATCTTTCATTTAAAATTAAAGCACTGTAGTATAACAGTAGGACAAGTAATTAAAATATATAGGGACCTCTAAGCCAACAATTAGCATGGGTACATTCTGGCTTCAGAGGTGCTATTACTGCCTTGCTGTGCTCCTCAAGGTAACATAATGTTGTGATGTAAATGTATTTTTTCCAACTGGTCATTTGACCAAGGAAGATATGATGATATGAAAACAATTATTAAAATTATTCTGGGGGGAAAGTAAGTGTAAAAGTGGTTTCAAAAGGAGGTGGAGGAAGGTTAAAAAGATCTCTTGGTGCTGAAGGATTGTTCAACCATAGAACTAGACTCTTTATGGTGAACAGGAGAGTTCAAACTTAATGGAGAAATTCCCAGGACGAGAAAGGAAGGGAGGATGAAGATGAAGAAAAAGCAGCAGCAAGTACTATGGAAATAAAAGGTGAAGGCAGAAGTGGAGGAGAAATGACCAGAGCTAAGCAACCATGCAAGACACTGGGGTTTTTATAAATCAATCTTAAATGTGAACGACAAAAGAGATGATGCAAATGATTCATTTACAGGTCCAGGTCAAACCGAAGAAAAGCTGACTCTGGAGCCTTGAAAGTGGCCATGACTTTTTTGATGGTCTCAAACAAAGGGAATACAGAGGAAAGCATAGAATTGTTACCATTATATATTCTTCCTATTACCTAGAACTCCAAAATGATGGCTTTCTTGAGGAATTCCTCTTACAATAATACATTAGCAACAGTTAAATACAAGAAAATTACAACTCCCACACACATTCATTAGGAATCCTCCAAGGATGACCAGACCTCTGAAATTATTAACTTTCAGTAAATCAGTTCCTTGGTGATTAGGGTCTGCTGCTCTGCCAAACACATCTTTATTGTACGAGAGAAATTTATACTGATGAATTGAAAAGATACAACATTGACATTTCTCCTTTCTCATACACTTCATTTTCACCTGTAACCTTCAATGACAGGCAGGAACTGCATTTTATGGTAGACTGGCTCAGAAACCGTGTATAAAATAGACAGTGGGAATAGAATTCCTGATAAAAAAACTCTTTCAAACAAAACAGTTGCAAATTGAAAACTTACTTTTTATTAAGTAGAGCTGCCATTAGATTAAAACAAAATCTGGTGAGCTAGACCATGGAGTCTAAACTAGTACCCAGTCTATTATAAAGATTAAAACCTGAAATATAGCAGTTATACGTCCTGTGAAGTGATATTCCTAAGAAATGAAGACAGAAAAAGATTCCTTTCTCAATGAAGACTTACATGACATATCTAGATACATAATTTAATTTGTAATGGATGAAAACCTTACTATGTATCACAGTTTCCCAAGTCTTAAAAGCTGAGGTTTGCTTGGAAAACCAGTAATACTCTATTTCTGACTAGTCTCAGGGCTCTAGAAAGACCAGATGAAAGTATGATGTGCACTTTACCTGTAGTAGGGATCTTCCACCTCATCAGCAAGGTCTGACTTATGGAAGGGAACCCCTGAGCTCTGGGGACAGCCCTGACTACACAGGCAATGTGTGGGAGGTGGACAGCTCTGTGCAAGCTGCTGCTGGGTTCACTCTGGATGAAAAAACAATTAATGATTTTCAAAAGGCACCTGCCTAAAGTTTAGTGGTATTTTTGACATGATAAGCCAGTCTGCTGAGAGAAAGCTATAGAAATGTATAAGACACAAATGCCTAATATTTCAAAATACCCATATGTGAAACAATGTCTTTAACAATGCAACAAACACTGCATTTCCATTGTCTGTACAAAACTCAGTTACTGTATATGAACAGGCTAGCATGCATTGTTATACACATAAAATTTGGGTCAGGATGCAAAGAGTGCAATTAGAGGACAGTAATGGGGAAGTCTTATAGTTTCAGGTTGTTTCACATGGCTTCAGATCAGAAATTTCAGAGAAACTTTGCAAATTTTACAGGGTTTTCTTCAGGTTCTTGACCTTTCAAAGACTAAATATCTAAGCAGACCCTGACCCTGCAAGAAACCTGTAAGAGTTAAAGAAAAAAAGGAGGTGAGGAAAAAAGACAAGATCTGAACATTGCTCTAACTGTAAATCAATTCTAGACATCCATTTTTACCTTCTGGTATATGTGACTTCTTGATAATTATCTTTAGTAACCCACCAATAACCTAGTTGCAAGTATTGCAGGATTCTGGAGAAATGGTTGAAAATATAACTTCCTGTTAGTATGCATTACTTAAACATGGCATTCTGTACTTAAGGCACTGAAGAATGAGTGCCCAGATGAAATGTGAGAGGCTAAAGCATCTTTGCTTTGATGACATTTGAAAAAAGCCCATGAAATATGAACTTATCCAAACCTCTGCACAGAATCCAATAAGCTTGAAGTTTACATCAATGTCTTCTCAAATACAATTTTCAGCACCAATATTTTTACTACTGAGACATTTAGGAGGAAGCACAGGAAGGTGATCTGGGAAGAAGATGTCTGGGGTAGCAATTAACAACAGCTTAAATCCTGTTTCACAAAAACCAAGGTGTTGGACAGTCCAGATTTTTAGTAATACTACTCTGATTAAGTTATTGCTATTTCTTTTTTAAAATATCATCCCATTTAAGACAATACAATTAATTTTCTTGAAGATAATATAAATGAAGAACACATCAGCAAGAATCTGCATCTCAAGCTGCTTACTTCCATCTGTGACAAAATCAAATTTTCATCAAGCCTTTATAACAATCATAAGTCTCCCATTATGGTGTCTTACAAAATACAATTTAGCAGATACATCTAGCATCAAAAATCTACTACAGAAACAGAGCAAAACTGGTTATATAAGAAAGTGTTGTGAAAGATATAAAAAAATGCATCGAACACACAATCATCACCACAACTTTCAAAATTTCAAGGGTATAATTTGGATATAGCTGTGGTTTTGAAATATGAAATAGATGGTAAAAATAAGGTTTTTAAGTTGCTCCTCTAGAACAGCATCTGTAAAATATACTAAAGACGTTATTTTTCTTGTTTGAAGCCAAATATAATGTGCAAAGAACTGCACAGCACATCCTTGTCATGAGAGTGGGTGGGCTGAATGGCAGTCTACCAGTTCCATCCGTCTGACCATGATATACTCACTTGTCAACAGATTCAGAGATTCAGGCTTGTGGTTTTGGGGAACACATAATTCTTGGGCCCAGGCCAAAGACAAACATGTTCAGAGACAGCAAGAGGTCCAAGGATAAAACTCTGGAGAGAAACTGCAACTAATTCAACAACAATAACAAAACTAAAAGAAAATTTCCGAGATCCTTCTATGGAAAAATCACTAAGAAGATTTTTGTTACAAAGAAAAGAAAGATGAATTTCTAACATTTCATAAAAAATGTCCAAATTAAAAAAGATCTAGAAAAGTATTTCAGTTCATTGCTGATTTAGAAGCCTGAAACAGAGACAGTTCCACAGCTGTAGATAGTGCAAGGCTCAGAGAACTAGTCCTGACAATATTAAAATGAAAAGTCTTCTGCTTTAAAATTATGAAAAAAACCCCCCAAATCTGACTAAATTAAAATGTGTTGTGTTTCAGCAAATCAATTCACCAAATTTCCCTAGCCAGACACACCTTCTGGACTGCAGGTACATAGATTTCTTCTACCTCACTGTACATAATTTGTCTTTTTTGTGTCTTATTTTTTCAAAACTTGATCTAATTACCTAAACTGCATTAAGGGATTCTTTTATGAACTAAAAATTGTGTTCTGCTCAGGGTCACAGGCTGTAGATGCAGTACAAAAGCAAAGAAGAGAATGTGCTTTAAACAAGTGTACCGGCACTGGTCTTACATTAATTAAATATGGCATTCAAAGGAGTGCAACTGGGGAAAAAAGCCTCACGCAGCTGCCTTGACCTTTATTCAGATGTCATGTGGAATACCAGCACAGATCGTGGAAAATCACCTTCTGACTGCTTCTGCAAAGTGCTGTGAGCCAAAACGGGAACCTCCTCAAATTTCACTCCTATCCAAGCTCTGGTTTGATAAAACCTGCAGAGGCTGCCCAGACACCCTGTGCATTGCTGACTGCTTCATGTGCAACTTGTTCCCTGAGAATGCATGAACGGAAATTTAGGAGAAAGGGCAAGCCTGTATAATCCATCCCTACTTTGTTCCATGTCCTTCAATAAACTGCTGTGGAATGAATACCTTCTGATCCTGGATCAACAATCAGTCCTTGTGCAGCTTTACCTGTACTGCAAACAAAAGGAAAACTCTCCCTGGAGAAAAAGAGGATGAATTCTTTCACTGACATCTGGACAGTGGCAGCATTAGCTCCTGCAATGTAGAGCAGTAAGGATTTGAGACTGAAATTTTAAGAACTTCCTGTTGCCTTAGTGTTTTAATATCCTGTTCAGTTTATTAACTGAGTCTGTGTCTATAACCAGTATAAAAATCCTCTTTTTACCAAAAGCTTTTACATCTTGTAATGTTATATACACTTGCATGTTATATATGCTTACTCATGTTTTATACTAGAAGTACCTCTAGTCCTTAGGGTATAAAGTGCCATTCTATGTAATACGTACTGACTGGTTTTAGGTAGCTTTGCAATACTTTCTTCTCCCTGAAGATGCATTATATGATTTCTTCAGATAGAAATGAACAAATATTGCAATGAACTGAAAAGGCCAGTGGCAAGCCAGCAGCAAATCAGTGGGGAAATAAAGGCATTAGCCAAGCCTAATTGTTTTGGAGCACTGCTTTGGAGCAAGGTCTATTATCTCAGGCCTACAGCCCTGCTAATGCATCTTCACACCACAGCCTGAAAATTGAAGAGAGTGACCTTGTCTGTTTGCAGTGCACTGAAAGCCATCACAAGCTGCAAAAAGCCACAGGTACAGATCAGAGCATTCCCTTTGGCTCAGGTTAACACACTCCATCTAAT